GACAAATCACACACACCATCCATTCTGCTGTATCCTCCGCACTAACTTCTGAACATCCAGGAACTTTCAAAAGAATGTTTCTTAATTCCTCAAATGACACATCATCTTTGTCTTCTCCAGTCTCTTCTCTTTCTTTTTCTTGAGCATCTTTTTCCTTTTTCTCCTTTCCTTTTTCTCCTTCAGTTGATATGCCTTTCAACTTGCTCCATGCATGTCTTAATGTGACTGCCTTAACCAAGCTCTGCCAACATGTAAGCACAATCTTTCAAATTAATTGTTTTGTGGTTAGCCAACGCACCTTCTTCGTCTTCGCTCTCTACCAAAAGTTTCCATAAAAGTTGCCTTCTGTAATGGCATCTCATGATTTCATAACAGACTCTTCCATTGGTTGCAACAAGCTTCTGACATTTGGCGATAAAAAGACTTGTAAACTGGCCATTCCCCTCTCAAACAATTCTGCTGTGGGGTGAGTTGGTGCATTATCAACAATCAGAAGAACTTTACTGCCTTCTTTTCCAAGAGAGTTTTGGAGCATTTTCACTTCAGTGATCAAAAAATATCGTCAACCACTCAGTAAATAAAGCTGCAATCATATAGGCCTTCGGTTGGTTTTTATGAAAGAAGGGAAGCTTTTTCACATTTTAAAATGTTCTTTGGCCTTTTTGACTTCCCTATCAACAGAAAGGGTATTTTATGGCTTCCCATAGAGTTCGTACTGGTAAGCACCAATACTTGATGTCTTGGAGCACTGCACTCCCTTTTAGACCTTAAAGTGGTTTTAGGCAGAGCTTTCCAAACAAGATCGGTTTCATCGGCATTATACGAAAACTCAGGATCATAGGAGTCTGTTACAATTTTAAATTTTTCAATAAAATCTGCTGCAGCTTTGGATTCTGCTGATAACTTCTCACCACTAAAATCTAATTCCCGGAACACGTGCCTGCATTTAAAATTTTTTAACCAGCCATTACTTCCTTTAAAGGAGGAACAACCAAGCTTCTGAGTTAAGCTCTGCTCTTTTTCACAAAGAATCGAACCCGAAAATGGGTTGCTGCAAAAAGCATCTGAAAATGACATCTTCTGAATTTTTGTTTGTTGCTGCCTTGTTTGATTTTCTTGAAGAAATTCCATCTTTGTTTTCAAGCAGTGACAAGGAAGTTCGTTTTCAAGCAAGTTTAAAAAAACTAGGTTTGCTCCTTTTAATGTCTGAAATTGTTGATTGTCCAAGATCGTATATCTCAGCCAAATGTTTATCTGTAACTCCTTTATACGACTGCTCTATAATTTTTAGTTTATCTGCTAATGATAACACGTTTTCTTTTAGAAGCCGTTGTGAACAATGAAATACACTCACAAACAAAACAATGCACTGACACGAAAGAGTACTGTCACAGTTCTGTAGCAGGTCAGTGACACACTGACTGACTGGTAATTAAAATGAACAGTAACAGGTGGGCCGTGCTGGCCACTTAGTGACAAACGATAGTACTGTAGCCAATAATAAAACTGCGCTATGAGACAGTGACTCATCATTCCAATAATGTTCATGCTGTGCCTATACTATCTTCATGAAGGGAAGGACAATAGTGCACATAGAACAGAATCGTTATATTGCGAATCGCAGTACATTTCCATCTTAGTTTTTTCTTTAATTCTGAAAGCAATTTGGATAGTTGGAGCTTAGATAATTGGAGTTGTACTGTATGTTTGATATGAACTGAACTAGTTGTTTATAATAACAGTATGTTGGACCTGATCTTATTACCTTAATATATTGTCGAACATTATTAAAAAAATTAGAATAAATTATAAGCAATTTTTTTTTCATGAATCTATACATGACTGCATGCTTATGGATTACCTAATTTTTAAAGATAAAACATGATGAAATTTTATCTTTCATGTGAAACCTGAATTTTGTGTAGTTTGGTTTAATTTATTTGAATATTCCAAAACACACAAGGGCTGTTTACCTAAGGGGAAGGATACTTTTATGGTGGAAAATCAGCTCATATTCACGTTGCACCATGCAGCCAGCCCTGGAATACCCAGGTCAAACTTCTGGCATTCAATGACCTTATTTGGCTCTTGGTGAGCGAAATTTTATGTGCAACTGACTGATATATTAGCTTAGATTTGCATGCAACTGGTCAAATATTTTGAAAACTTTGATAAAACATTTTTAATATTTAACCTTATAAGTAGCTTTCAGTTATTCATTTTACTTTGTCTGAACAGGCAAGGGCTATTTAGTCAACAGGAGCAAAAACTTTCTAAGGTGGTTAACATAAGGTAAATATTTAGGTTAATGTAACATGCTGCATAATGATTAATTTAGACATCAAACAACAAAAATCAGCATTATATTTGCAAATTTTTCAGGACTAGTTTTGAAGGTTTTACTACCAAACCAACTTCTTCAGCTGCCAAAGTGCAATACTATTGTAATATTTCTCAGCTGCCAAAGCCTTTGCGCTTTGACAAAGATGGTTCGGTGGTAAAACCATCAAAAGTAGTCCTAGAAAATTTGCTAATACAGTCAAAAGTCGTTAATTCGGACACCCATAATCCGGAATGATCTATAATCCGGACCTCAAAGCTACAAACTTTCTGCGCATGCGTCGCGTTGACGCATGCGCGTAAGACCTTTACCGCTGCGAATTTGCGTGTGCGCGTGCGCAAAATACGTTTACGAATGCGCGTTTAATGTATAACGGACGGGATAAGCTAAGCTAAAATTATCTAATTATCTATTTCAGTTAATGTTGCAGATTGCGTTGTTCCTTAATCTTCGAATTGGATCCGGATTATTATTTTTTGCAGACTGTTAGAGCAATTTTATAAAAGTAAGCTTGAACTTTCGATTATGTCAAATAGAATTTCCGATATATATTTACTAATATGTAAAGGATATACAAAGCGAAAGTATCTTTCGGAGTCCATTAAACAAAAAATGGAATTGCTGCAAAAAATGGATAAAGGCATATTCTTTGTTTATCTAAACTTAAACGTTTGTTTATCTAAACTTTTTTATCTTTAACGCCGCGGCGGCATGCAATGAATTGGAAGTTGATTTATCAGCACTATCCTTATCTTGAGGGCAGATGTTTTTATTTTATTTGGCTTATAATTGCTTACTCAATGTAGTATTTCATCTCAATGTACTCCGTCTTTGATATGATTTAAATCAAATGCCTCGTCATTATAATTCGCTTCCGATAGCGAAGAAAGTGACAGAGTTTATTGAAAATGAATAAATTTCGATTGACAAATTAGTCGGTATTCTCGACACAGCAATTATAGGACTTGAACAGCGGACCTTTGTAACTGAACAAGAAATTATGTCTGTTTATAGAATTAAAGAGAATGTATTATCACATAAAAAACGAAGCAACTGAAACAACTTACATTGAAAGAAATGTTTAATAAAGTAAACCAATAAATATTAAGCTTTTCTTTTGTCAATTTTGATACCCTTTAGATCATAATTGTTCTTTATTTCGTAAATTACGGTTTCATATTTTTACTTTTATAATTTCTGCATGCCATTTTACCAGATTTAAACTGATGATCTATAATCCGGAAAAATCGATAATCCGGAATCGCCGAAGTCCCGACGAGTCCGGATTAACGACTTTTGACTGTATAATGCTAATTTTTGCTGTTTGACTTCTAAATTAACGAGGTAAATAGTTTGGGAGAAGTGGGTTTAGAATCAGCATAACTTGAAGCAATGTTGTAATGTAACTCAGTGTAGAAGTCAACACATTTGCGGCTCATTAATGAATAAAACATAATGAATAATATTGCATTTTGAAGTGACATAAATAATAGTAGAATTAAAAAAAAAGGACCAGTTCTTTGGTTCTCATGAGTAATTTTGTGTTAAGGATATGTAATGTCTATTACAGCTCCGATCCAAAAAATTAGAATAAAGGAAAAAATAAACTAAAACAAAATAATAAAAATCTGAAAGCTTTTAGATTTTACATTATACCCAAATGGCTCTCCCTTTTTTTTTTTAACGTTTTGTTGGTTACCTTTATTTATTAAATATCATGTTCTTCATACTTAAACTATAAAATTCAGTTCAACAGCAATATCACAAAATAATTTTAAAAATGAACATATCTTTAAAATTTCGGATACACAGTCTTGCATGCTGGAGATAAAAATATTTTTTTCCCCCATGCATTGTTGCCATTGCTCGCTTTTAAATCGTTGAGTTTGTTAATAAAAAATTCGTTAAAGTTTTATGAAATAGATAATACAACAAATTCCAAATTTGGGCTTCCAGATGCTCAAATTCAGGTTTAGACATACGTTATTCAAAATTGGATGACTCTAGGTACCATTGTTTTATCACAATGCAAGAAACATATATATTTATGCAGATTCTTCATTATTTAATTTCCTTAAATATAATACGGGGTTCTAATATTTGGTGGCAAAAATTTGAAAAGTGACCCGACATTTATAGTGAACCAACGCAAAATGCTAAAACAAAATTGATAGTCCTTCAGGGCAAATTGCTCCTTTGAACTAAAAATCATATGGATTGGTATTATATCTTCATCAGTTACTAATAAGAAATTGTTTGTTATTTTGTATGACTTCATGTAATTATGTTACTTGTTAATTTTTAATTCTGAAACTTTAGGAGTATTAAGCTTTCCTTTATTTTTAGCTAATTTATGGGCATAAAAATTATATGCTGTCACTTGGAAGTCTAGTATTTTTCAAAAATATTAAGTCTTAATTGTTTTAAATATTAATTAAAAATTATTGAATGCATGTAATAAGTTGCTTTTCCAGATTCATAAAATAATTTCATAATTTTTCATTAGCAGTATGTTACTTACATAAAATATATTTTGTGTCATAAGAAGGAAAATGTAGTGAAATTGCTTGTCAAATATCAAATGTGTAGCACCAGTCACATTGTTTTTATTTTAAAATATATCATGTGATATGCACATTGCATCTTTTGATTTTTACAGATCTTGATCTTGAATTCAGAAATGAACCCATCTCTCAGCTAGTGAATATCAGTGATGGGAAGACTGTTTTCCGATGTAGTGCCTCACCTTCAATAGCCCAAATTCAGTGGTTATACAAAGGACAGCCTGTGCCTCATAATCGCTGGATCAAAGTATCAGACCGCAAACTCACAGTGCATTTGGGGCGGATGGAAAAGGGCTCAAGGTTACCACATCATTTAGAAAATGGTTACTTTCAGTGTGAAGTTAGATTAAAAGGAAAAGTTCTAGTCAGTGCTCCAGCAAAATTAATTTTAGCTGGTAAGTTATGTATTTAATTTTATAGGAAAATTGTAGCAGAAGAAGTGAAATAATTAAAGAATTTACTCTACTTTTAAGAAATCTGTACACAGTACAAAGTCTTTAATCCGGACGTCCATAATCCGGACTTCAAAGCTACAAACTCTCTGCACACGCGTAGCTTTTACTGATGCAAAAGCAAAGTTTAAGTTGTAAAAACATTTAGCAAAATTAGCAGTAGAAGCTCCCTAAGGTTATATACTGTGCAGACATTGAAGACCAAAGTTTTAAACTTAACCAATTTATTAACAATATATATATAAATAAAAAGACAATGAATAAATTTAATCAATATCAGAAACTTAAAGAGTGTAACATAATCATTATCAAAAATTACACTTAATTGATCATTCATTAACCCCAAGGGTTTTTTCTTTAAAGAATATTACACTATTAATTATACAGTAAATATTTTACTTGATCTTTAAATACTGGCATTCAATATGTGAAAAACATATCACAGAACAAAAACTATGCTGTTAATATGAATTTCACTTTACTATAAATAAGTCCATGCTTTTTGGCCAAGAATGCACCTGAAAAATTAAACTAAACTTTGAGTGCACTTGCACTGGCTAAAGCCGTTTACTGTAATTACACACGTCACAGCTTGGAAAAACATCGCCGCTAATCCTGAATAACACTTGTATTTAAAGATGCCGCCTTCATGAAAACAGGATGCCGCCCACGGCAGTCGCTCACATCGTAGCCGCCTTTCAGAATGCAGAAAAAGTCATCTTTGGACCGGAATCACGGCGCGCATCGCAATATCATCTTCCGATGGGGGCTGGAACGGCACACCACGGAGCAATGAAACAGGAACCAGAAGGAATAAGCCAAGTTCCAAGTTCTGCTGGATGTGCCGCTGATTAATTTGCAGGATTTGCAAGTTTTGTTCCGTTTGTCTGAGTTTGTTGCTATAGAGTGCTGAAAGTAGGAGAATGCATGAGTGAGACCTAAGTCAGGATTGCAGATGTTGAGAGGGCATAACTACCTTGTCACATGAGGTGTGAAGAAGTCATTAATACGTTGCGAGATTTCGGGTTAGAAATGCAAGGAATAAGCCAGAGCGACGCGAGAACAAGCGTCTAGACCCCAAACCTCACTTTTGCTCATTGCCTGGTTTCGGAATAAAAAGAGGGAAAAAGGGATTTCGTCCAAGCGCTTACAAATGCTCATGTTGGATTTCATCCAAGCACTCGCAATTGCTCATTTTGAAGACTGTGTGCTTATGTTGTTATCGCTTGAAATACTAACGAATATGTGTTAGTGGTGCTATATTTACTTAGCTTAGTTTTTCGTAAAAATAAAGTGGCTAATTTCACTCAATATACTGTGTACCATTAATTGTGTGTAAAATTTCCGTTTGTAAATTGTGCAAAAGTTTGTTTGAATGCAAATATTTCGCATATTTATATTATCCAATATGAGCAGGCGATCTCATGCCAGCAGGTGACTGCATTTTGGCTAATTAATTGCTACTTACATTAATTTAAATCTCATCTATATAATGGGTAAATAAAGGGCATTATCGGACTTTTTGAGGAAAATAAAGAGTTTTGATTTATGAATCTAAAAACCCTTCTCTGTACAAGATTGAAACTTTCAAAGCTATACAAGCATTTATTTTATTTTATATTTTTCTTATCTTAGGCGTATTAACTTCTAATTCATTCAACTAGTTGACGACTTTGTAAATTGGCAAAAATTGTGTGACTATATTGCTGATAGGTAATGTTCTGTTCTTAAATAAACAGGAAATTGAATATGAAAAGAATAACCTTTATGTCTGTTATTTACATTTTAAGAGCAGGCAGGTACTGTTCTGCGAAATAACAGTTAAATGAAGCATGTTATTTAATTCCTGAAACACATGTGCGGTGCATGCAAGCACAGATCAGCTGCTGTCGTCTTTATGCACAAAAAAATGATTAAAAAAATTTAAACTGATTGTAAATAAGTAGATTTTTTTTAAAAGAGGCATAATAGGCTATATTTTAAATCATTTTTCTTCTTATCTTTGGTTTGGCAAATTTAATATTGACTTTCAAGCATTCTGCAAAAATAAAATTCTTGTAAAAATTTGCTAGTTCATTTTATACAATGATTCATATTTTATTAACTGTTAAGTGCATAGATTTTTCAAGCATTTTCCTGTTTGGAGAAATTTATCTGATATTTCTTCCCTACCCTCAACATCTTTTAACGTTAAATATGTAACTGATTGTATCCCTCCCAAAATCTAAGATTATTTGGTACCATTCCATGTACATAAATCACATGACTGTTCACTACTGGAAGGGGAGGGGGAATAAATAAATAAATAAAATAAAAGCGGTGAAATTTCACTATTTTTATTTTAATTTTTTTGGTCCATTAAAGCATGCATTATACAAATTGTTATGTTATTTTAATACATGTGCACATCAAAACAAAAGTGACAAAAGTATACAAGCAATACCTAAAGTAGGAATTGAGAGAAACATAGGAGTTGCATTAAAAGTAACCAAAGAAATAAATGGCATGTGACGAACCTGCATTTTTCCTTGGCGGCCCGTAGAGCAATCACAAAACATCCGATGGTTCAGTTTTCTAATGCTATTTATTATTCGTTATATTTACATATTTACAACTGTCCTATTGTTAGGTGGACTACCTTCACAGAAATCATGTTGCCTAATCAAACGAGATTTCGTTTCTACTTACATGCATTACGCTACTGCCAAGCAGCGCCCTCTACTTCTCTCTTTACAACACTCCCCACCTGTGAACTCTTTAAGTTCACAGAAACCGAATACAAAATAAACCATAATTTCTAAATCAAACACAACATTTGAATACTCTATAAACTACATCAAATTACAAATAACAAGTAATGTTTAAACACATTAAATCAACTTATAAAGTAATTACTAAATAAGAAACATTATACTAAATCAAAATTCTCAATAATTATATAAACTAAACTACATTTAGCAGCAATCAATAAAGATACTCAGAAAATGATATATGTGCAAACAACAAATTAGATTATTACACGGTAACTGTTTACTACTAATTATGCACTTCAAGGTTGTACAGCAATTGTACTGGTCTCTTTAGATTACCTGTTTGAGTTTTAATGAGACAAGATCGAATTTGACCATCTCTGCCAGGATAAGTTTCTATTATCTTACCTAGTGTCCACAAATTCCTAGGTAAACGGTCGTCATGTACAAGGACTACGTATACATCATTAACATTAAAGTGACCAGATTAAACACCAGACACTTTAGTAGGTGGACATAAATTCACAGATCTTAAAGAAAGCAAGTAATCCTTCCTCCACCTATTCCAAAAGTGGTTTAACAAGGTTTGTTGATGTTTTATACCTTTTGATCAAGGAATGTCTAGACCCAATCAAGTCTTCTCTGCACACTCTTGTAACTGGAAGAGAAAGTAAACGTTTACCAATTAAGAAATGAGCAGGAGTTAGCGGTGAGGGTTCTGAAGGGTCATTGTAGACATACGTTATGGGTCTTGAATTAATTATGGCTTCGATTTCTACGAAGACTGTTTCTAGCTCATTCAAACAGAGACTAGAACGTCCAACTATTTTCCTTAAACAAGTTTTGATCGTTCTAAAATGCCTTTCCCAGAACCCTCCCCACCATGCTCCTTTTTCCACAATAAACTTCCATGTTATACCGTGGGAAGAAAACAAATTTTGTACGGATGGGTGTTGAATACACTTCCAAATTTTTCGCAACTCGAGATCAGCACATTTGAATGTCTTGGCATTGTCTGAATATATCGTTGAGCACAATCCACGACGAGAAATAAACCTGCGAAACGCAAGCATGAAATTCTCCACGCTCATAGAAGGGACAAGTTCTAGATGTAAAGCTCGAGTTGTAGCACATGTAAACAAAAGCAGATAATGTTTATTCTTGCTGTCCTTTGTAAAAAAGGGACCAGCATAATCCAGCCCTGTTACAGAAAATGGAGATGATTGAAGAACACGATCAGGTGGTAAAGGAGCGGTTTCCTGTGTACCGGCACGCACCTTGTATCGTTTACACAAAAAGCACTTACTTAACGTGGACTTGACGAATTGGCGTCCTTTTATGATCCAAAACTTTTCTCTAATATCGGCCAAGGTAGCTTCGACTCCAGCATGAAACAATTTGTTATGAGACTCAAAAATTACTAGTTCACTGTATCTATCTTTATAAGGTAACAGTCATGGGTGTTTTACTTCGAAAGCAAAGTCGGAAAATTGAAGTCTGCCCTTTAAACTCAGAAGACCATGGGTATCCAATTCTGGGTTCAGTGAATAAATCGACGATGTTTTTTCTAAGCATTTTCCACTTGATAGATCTAGAATCTCTTTCGCAAAGTATTTTCGCTGTGTAACTTTTACCCAATAGAGCTCAGCTCGCGAAATTTCAACAGAGCTTAATGGACCTTTGAATTTCACTGAATTTCGTTTTATATTGTTGGTAAACCGCATAACATAAGCCGTAATTTGATACACCTTCAGCAGCCTGCTGAATCGCGTTAACTGTAGTAATGCCGAAGATTCTACGTCTTGAAAAGAAACATGAAGAGATGTTTGCACCCTTGCTTCGTTCTGAACGCTCTCCTCGTCGATGTTGGTCTGTTGATTTACTGGCCAAACACTTCCAGGTTGAGACAGCCAGCTAGGTCCGTGTAACCAAAGGGAACTTCTCACAAGATTAAAGGCATTTTCTCCTCGAGATAAAAGGTCAGCAGGGTTTTCACTCCCACTGCAGTGAAACCAGCATTCAGGATCCGTGAGAGACTGAATATCTGAGACTCTATTTGATACAAAGGGTTTCCAGTTTCTTGCACATCCCTTTATCCAGTAGATAGTTATTTGGCTATCACTTCAAAGAAACTTTTGATGACACAGTTCAGGTAACAGCTTTGTCAAATACATAGACAATTTGGCGGCTACTAAAGCAGCCATCAACTCCAAACGAGGTAAAGTCATAGTCTTGAGTGGAGCTACGCGACCCTTTGCGGTAATGAAACTGGTGCAAATAATGTTTTCTGAATCAAGGTATCTAAAGTATGCTACTGCGCCGTACGCTTTAGGGCTAGCGTCAGCAAATACATGAAGACTAACATTAGATTTTTCACTACTACCAAAATATTTCTCGGAAGAGAAAAATCCTCCAACACCTGTTAATTCAGCTTGCCAGCGACTCCAGTCCTTAACTATTTCTAATGGAAGGGTATCATCCCAGTCCACACCTAATGTCCAAATTTTTTGTAAACGGAATTTTCATTTTCATCACAAAGGGTTGAAACACACCAATTGGATCGTAAACTTTGGCCACCATTTGGAGAAAGAATAGTCCTTTTTGTGGCCTCAGCACTGTCATGGGATAAATTTCCTAAAAATTCGCAATTCAACTTGATCTTATCTGCTTCAGAGTTCCAGATCATGCCCAAAAATTTTGACTCTTTAGCTGGTTCTATGTTATAACCTTTTCCAATCCACCAGGAATTAAGTTCCTCGGAATTTGACCTTAATTTTCTCAAATTCATCTCAGCGTCTTTAAAAATCTTAACCGCGTCTGAGGATAATCGACATGCATCTTCAATAGTGTCTGCACCGTAGTATAAATCGTCTACTACATAAATGAGGAATCTAACATTTCATAACTTTCTGGATTTGTGCTTTTATATTTTTAATGTGGAATTTTATCGTCATCGCTAAAATTGCTGGACTACAACAAAGTCCGAATGGAAGACGTTTAAACCTTAAAACTTTATATTTTTCCTCACTATTCCCGAACCAAAGGAAATTTTAAATATTCCCTATCCTTTTCTAAGATTCCTATCATTAAAATTAAAAAGGCCTTAGCTAAATCTCTGCTGAAAGCAATTTCATATTTCCGAAATTTTAAAATTATGTCCAAAACCACGGGGATCAAACTAGGTCCAATGTCTAAAAAAATCATTTAAGGACTTTACACCTTTAGTTCTAGAAGAGCTCGCGTCGTAAACAATCCTACACCTTGTGGTTTCCTTAGGTTTTATTATTTCCCTGTGCGGCATAAAATACGATGCCTCCGTTATTTCGTGTAAACACTCCTCAACTATACCCTCCTTCATTTGCTCTTCAATTACGGATTTATACTGCTGATAAATCTCAGGATTTCTAATAAGTCTATTTTTAAGACTTTCAAATCGTCTTAATGAGACTCCGAAATTATTTTCTAATTGCCCTGCTTCCGGTTTCCATAATAAACTGACATAGTATCTATTACCTTCTAGCCGTATTTCCTTTTCAAAGCTTTGAATCCTTTCTCTCACCCCGTTAGAAACCGCTGAGTAATCGGTAAGGCCCATCAAATCTAAAGTCCACAACGATCTCAATGAATCAGTTACGCAAGAAGAAAGGTTTACTATTGCCGTGTTTTTGAGATACTATTTCGCTCTCTTTATCTTGAAGGCCAACTGGGACCCATCCAAACATAGTAGAAATCGCATAAATTTCCTTTCCTAATTGAATCTTTTTCCCCTCCTTACCATCTTCCAGTAATAATCCACACCTATTAGAATTCCAACGCTTTCTTTACATAAACAAGCGATTCGCAATCCGCACCCATTCAACATTTTTAGTGTTTCTTTTGACGGCGTGGTCATATGTGCAGCCGTAATGGCGTCAGTGACGAGACAGCTGATTTTTATTTTGTTCTTTTGCTTCGCATCTGAAACACAGAATTCCACAACCTTATATGTTTTAGGTACTGCGTATTTCATTCCGAAAGAATAAATAGACAATGTTTCTTCTCCAACAAATTTTAAGTTTGATTTCTTAACTACACTAATATGAACAAAACTTCATGTAGCACCACAATCGAAAATTAAATTAATTAACTCTGACTTTCCCTCATAATGAGCTAACACTGAACAGGTTTGCAATAAAGCGTTTTTATTCAATGATTTATCACAAGGAACAACAGAAAGCGTGTGTTCTTTCGGCGAGTTTTGTGTTTCATCTACTGAATTGTCTCGCGAGCTTTCGCACAATTCCTTTATGTTTTGATTTGAAGCCGTTCGTGCTTTGTTACGATTTGAACTACTTGTACATAGTGATTCATGATGCGACTTAAACCCGCATTTTAAGCAGTTAGTTTTATTCCTACACGATTTCCAAATGGGATATTTTCGAAAACAAATAAAGCATCTATTTTCAGTACGTAACTTACACAATTTTTCTTTAATGCTTTTATCACAAGAAAATGAATTATGGGACTTTGCGCAGAAGATGCATGCACACGATTATCAACAGCATTGAAACTGGCAGCGTAGGTACATTTCTGTGAATTTTTTTTTATAATCAGACTTAGCATGTTCGAAACGTGGAGGCAAGGTATTTATTTCTTTTATCTCGCGTCAATAAACTCGACGCTTCACGACATTCAATTTCCCGCTTTATAAAGTCCAACAAGTCTGAAACATTAATTTCTTCATTTGGGTTTTTCCTTCGATTAAATTCCAGAACGAACTCTTCTGGAATAGCTTTTAACAACACAGGTATTAATAACTGACCAAATGAACCTTTCGTAACTCCTTGCGCTTCCAAATTCCGAACTTCAATTTCGATTTCATCATATAACCTACGTAAAGCTTTAATATTATTTGAATTCCTTACTGGTTCTAAATTTAACAGTTTGTTCATGAATTGACTAATTATTATTTCTTTTTTCCCGAATCTATCCTTCAAAGTTTTTATGCTCTCGTCGTAATTTTTTGCATTTAATTCTAATGAAGATACTACATCACTCGCGGCACCTGTAAGTAATGTTTTCAAGTATGCGAATTTTTCTATCTTACTAAGACTTTCGTTTTTGTCTATAGCGCTTTCGTAACTGTTCCAAAACTCCGTAAATTTTTCAGGATCACCTGAATATTTCTCTAAAACTAGTTTTGGAAATTTTACCGTACTTTGTACATTTTGCAGTCTACCCAAGTTTTGTTCAGGATCTTTAATACTTATTTTATCCTCTTCCAACATTCGATTAATTCGTTTAATAGCTCGAGAACATTTTTCCTGATATTCCTCAGAACTAACTACATCCTCTTCTAGAGAATCTATCTCAATTACGGAATGAGTTGCCTCATTTAATTCTTTCAAATTACTTTTCTTTTCTATTAATAATTCATGCACTTTGCATAATTCATCTGTATCTTTCTTTGCTAAACTATCCTCGACTTTCTTTAGTAGTTTAGATACTACCGTTCTCAATGCGGTTCTCTTTCGTTTTAATCTATCTAGTTCTGCCATTATTTCGCGTTAATACACAAATGTACCCAAGACTGCAAATTATCAAAATTCAAATCAAACACGCTCAAAATTTAATAATAATCATGCTCTTACCTAGGGCATGGTCTGGACACATACTTCCTCGTGAAGTTCACTTTAACAAATCCAAACATTTCCGTAAGATGGACCACTGTGACGAACCTGCATTTTTCTATGGCGGCGCGTAGAGCAACACAAAACATCCGATGGTTCAGTTTTCTAATGCTATTTATTATTCATTATATTTACATATTTACAACTGTCCTATTGTTAGGTGGACTACCTTCACAGAAATCATGTTGCCTAATCAAACGACATTTCGTTTCTACTTACATGCATTACGCTACTGCCAAGCAGCGCCCTCTACTTCTCTCTTTACAACATAGCATATGTGTTATAATATTGACGAGGATAGAAAAGGTATAAAATGTTATCATCAGAAGTATTTATATTGTTTGTTTGGTTATTTTAATTATGGCAAAGCACACTAGGGCTATCTGCCTAAGGGAAGGGTTGCTTTCATGGAGGACTTTCTAAGGGAAACTGGCTCGTATACATGTTACACATGGGGAAAACCACGAAAACGCCCATGCAGCCATACCGTTTACGGGAATATTTATATTGTAATCTTCTTACTCTTTCTAGCTGTTACATTCCATTACGCTGCCAGAATCCAAAGCTCGTGGCGTGGCAACACTTGCTGTGAGATCTTCAGTTCTACGCTACTTTGGGAAATAACATTCTTAGAGACATTTAATCATTGTAGTGCATCTTAAATTTATATTTAAATTAAAATTATACATTGCTTATTTAATTGATTTAATATAGTAATCAGACTTCTTGACAATTGATATTGAAATTGGTCCATGAATTGTGTGTAACATAAATTCCTAGTGCTCTATTTATTTTTTATATTATTTTTACTCACCTAAAAAAAAAAAAAAAAAAAAAAAAAAAAAAAAAAAAAAAAAAAACTCATGAAAAGTTGGATAGTTGAGATTTGTATATGCATTTTAATAATATCTAATCAATGTTATTTATAATAGTAGTTATTTATAATTTATCGATTGTAGGCTTCTTCCATTTGTAGGTCTCCTACTGCAGTATGTTTTAATCCAGTTAATGGCTATGTTTTAAACATGGGATATCAAGCATTTTTAAAATACTTAATGAAATTTTGGTGGCATCTTGTGAGAGCACATGCAATATGCAATTTCCTTGTTAATTTACAAATGAAAATTGTCCCAAGATAAATGGAGCATTCAACCCAGGAAAGGATTATTTTATGGATTTTGAAGTGCTATCAATTTTCTTTTTCCTTGTGAAGAGTTCAACAGTAATTGTTTTTACATTAAATGTAATTTTTTATTTGTTGTGTAGCTTCTAATGTATAAATTTGTATTTGCAACAATTTATATGAATAGACTAAGTGATGCTTTTTATGTGAGAAAAATCACATTTTTTCATCTGCAGAAATGGCTATATAAATATATTATCACAATGATAAGATTGCGAAGACAAACTAATTGGTGCAACTTTTTTTGATTTGGCATGATTTAAAACTGTTTTGATTAATGATTACTTTGATACTGATGGTCGACTGGTTGGAAAACAAACCATCTGTAACATCTTATGGAAGGGAGAAAAATCTTGTGGCAGTGCCAAAACC